CCTGCACCCTGCACCGTGCACCCTGCACCGTGCACCCTGCACCCTGCACCGTGCTCCCTGCACCCTGCACCGTGCACCCTGCACCGTGCACCGTGCACCCTGCACCCTGCATAGTGTACCCTGCACCCTGCACCGTGCACCCTGCACCCTGCTCCCTGCACCCTGCACCGTGCACCCTGCACCCTGCACCGTGCACCGTGCACCCTGCACCGTGCACCCTGCACCCTGCACCGTGCACCCTGCACCCTGCTCCCTGCACCCTGCACCCTGCTCCCTGCACCCTGCACCCTGCTCCCTGCACCCTGCACCCTGCACCGTGCACCCTGCACCGTGCACCCTGCACCCTGCACCATGCACCCTGCACCGTGCACCCTGCACCCTGCACCCTGCACCCTGCTCCCTGCACCCTGCACCCTGCTCCCTGCACCCTGCACCCTGCTCCCTGCACCCTGCACCCTGCACCGTGCACCCTGCACCGTGCACCCTGCACCCTGCACCCTGCACCGTGCACCCTGCACCGTGCACCGTGCACCCTGCACCCTGCACCCTGCACCCTGCACCCTGCACCGTGCACCCTGCACCGTGCACCGTGCACCCTGCAGCGTGCACCCTGCACCCTGCACCGTGCACCGTGCACCGTGCACCGTGCACCCTGCACCGTGCACCCTGCACCGTGCACCGTGCACCGTGCACCGTGCACCCTGCACCGTGCACCCTGCACCCTGCACCCTGCACCGTGCACCCTGCACCCTGCACCGTGCACCCTGCACCCTGCACCGTGCACCGTGCACCGTGCACCGTGCACCCTGCACCGTGCACCCTGCACCCTGCACCGTGCACCCTGCGCCCTGCACCGTGCACCCTGCACCCTGCACCGTGCACCCTGCACCGTGCACCGTGCACCCTGCACCGTGCACCGTGCACCCTGCACCGTGCACCCTGCACCCTGCACCGTGCACCCTGCACCGTGCACCCTGCACCGTGCACAATGCACCCTGCACTCTGCACCGTGCACCCTGCACCCTGCACCGTGCACCCTGCACCGTGCACCCTGCACCCTGCACCGTGCACCGTGCACCGTGCACCCTGCACCGTGCACCGTGCACCCTGCACCGTGCACCGTGCACCCTGCACCGTGCACAATGCACCCTGCACCCTGCACCGTGCACCCTGCACCGTGCACAATGCACCCTGCACCCTGCACCGTGCACCCTGCACCCTGCACCGTGCACCCTGCACCCTGCACCGTGCACCGTGCACCCTGCACCCTGCACCGTGCACCGTGCACCCTGCACCGTGCACCGTGCACCCTGCACCGTGCACAATGCACCCTGCACCCTGCACCGTGCACCGTGCACCCTGCACCGTGCACAATGCACCCTGCACCCTGCACCCTGCACCGTGCACCCTGCACCGTGCACAATGAACCGTGCACCGTGCACCGTGCACCCTGCACCGTGCACCGTGCACCCTGCACCGTGCACCGTGCACCCTGCACCGTGCACCGTGCACCCTGCACCGTGCACCCTGCACCCTGCACCCTGCACCCTGCACCCTGCACCCTGCACCGTGCACCCTGCACCGTGCACCGTGCACCGTGCACCGTGCACCCTGCACCGTGCACCCTGCACCGTGCACCCTGCACCCTGCACCCTGCACCGTGCACCCTGCACCGTGCACCCTGCACCCTGCACCGTGCACCCTGCACCGTGCACCGTGCACCGTGCACCCTGCACCGTGCACCCTGCACCGTGCACCGTGCACCGTGTACCCTGCACCGTGCACCCTGCACCATGCACCCTGCACCCTGCACCGTGCACCGTGCACCGTGCACCGTGCACCCTGCACCGTGCACCCTGCACCGTGCACCGTGCACCATGTACCCTGCACCGTGCACCCTGCACCGTGCACCGTGCACCGTGTACCCTGCACCGTGCACCCTGCACCGTGCACCCTGCACCCTGCACCCTGCACCGTGCACCCTGCACCGTGCACCCTGCACTGTGCACCGTGCACCGTGCACCCTGCACCGTGTACCCTGCACCCTGCTCCCTGCACCGTGCACCCTGCACCGTGCACCCTGCACCGTGCACCCTGCACCCTGCACCCTGCACCGTGCACCCTGCACCCTGCACCCTGCACCGTGCACCCTGCACCCTGCACCGTGCACCCTGCACCGTGCACCCTGCACCGTGTACCCTGCACCCTGCACCGTGCACCGTGCACCCTGCACCGTGCACCCTGCACCGTGCACCCTGCACCGTGTACCCTGCACCCTGCACCCTGCTCCCTGCTCCCTGCACCGTGCACCCTGCACCCTGCACGGCAGCTGCAGCTCTGCAACCCGTTGCCCCTTCGAGGCCAGGGCGACTTCCGAGGAACTTGACACAACTTGAGATCTCCACTGAAAACACATCTCCATTCAAATCAGATTTTTCTCTTCAGTTATTTTCAAAAGTCTTTCTCACTTAATCTTTTTTCTTTCCTCGGTTGTTGTTAAACTATTTTTTCTTTCCTTGATTGTTAAACAATTTTGTCTTTCCTTGGTTGTTGTTAAACTATATTTTTTTTCCTTGGTTGTTGTTAAACTATTTTTTCTTTCCTTGGTTGTTAAACAATTTTTTTTTCCTTGGTTGTTGTTAAAATATATTTTCTTTCATTGGTTGTTAAATATTTTTTTCTTTCCTTGGTTGTTGGTAAACTATTTTTTCTTTCCTTGGTTGTTGTTAAACTATTTTTATTTCCTTGGTTGTTGTTAAACAATTGTTTCTTTCCTTGGTTGTTGGTAAACTATTTTTATTTCCTTGGTTGTTGTTAAACTATTATTTATTTCATTGGTTGTTGTTAAACAATTGTTTCTTTCCTTGGTTGTTGTTAAACTATTATTTATTTCATTGGTTGTTGTTAAACAATTGTTTCTTTCCTTGGTTGTTGGTAAACTATTTTTATTTCCTTGGTTGTTGTTAAACTATTATTTATTTCATTGGTTGTTGTTAAACAATTGTTTCTTTCCTTGGTTGTTGTTAAACTATTTTTATTTCCTTGGTTGTTGTTAAACTATTTTTATTTCCTTGGTTGTTGTTAAACTATTTTTATTTCCTTGGTTGTTGTTAAACTATTATTTATTTCATTGGTTGTTGTTAAACAATTTTTTCTTTCCTTTGTTGTTGTCAAAAAAAATTTCATTCCTCGGTTGTTAAACAATTTTTTCTTCCTCGGTTGTTCTTAAACTATTTTTTCACCTTTCCGTGGCATAGCGCCACTGAGAACGACCGCTTAAGGGGAGCGCTTTATTATTATTCGAGTGAATTCAAACCGCATAGAGCGAATTTGGGCTCTACATATAGGGCTGCCGCATGTATATGGGATTGCGAAATTGCACAAAGCGAACCCCGCATAGATGAGGTGAGGTATTTAACATCTCGCCACCGTTCCGGCCTTAACTTGGTGAACTCAAACAGTTTTAAAATAGTTCGTAGTAATTTGCCCCCTTGCTTAAGGCGATAACAAATACAACAATTTTCCGTGTAGCCTGTAACAGACTCTTGGGGTAAAGTGCTGTTAGCGAGCACCTATGAAGCCCGGCACGGCACACGAGGGGGTGGGTGGCCAGCACCACGCCCGACCGCCTTTGTCTCCCCAGCGGCGACGTTTTAACGCCCCCACTAGGTACTCATTTGAGGCTGAGGCGACCTAAGGGGAGGAGGCCCCAGGACCGGTTCAGATTATCCGTCACTGGTGTTCGCCGTGAGCGGAAATCGAACTCGGGTCGCCGGGTTCGTAGCGCAGCACGCTAACCACTACACTACCTTTCCCCCGCACAGACACACACAGACATACAGACACACACACGGATACACACAGACATACAACAACCGCCATTCGCCACTAAGTGGCGGTGACGTCACCACGACGCTTGTGCCAGGCCATGTGCACCTTGAGGCCACGTGAAGTATCGAACGCCCGCTGGCAGGAGGTCACGGGGCAGACCCAGGTGGTGCCACGGGTCGACTGACTGAGACGACTGAGACGACTGGCTGATGTACCACCTGTGCCCTCTACTGTGCCAACTCGCTGTGCTTTAGCCACCCGGCGCTCCGCTCGTTATTGTGAGCGTCGCTCCTCCGCCCTCCGTTGTTGTTGGAGGGCGACTGCCTCCAACTGCCCAGTAGCGTCCTTCACGAGCCTCCTCCACAGAGGCCGATCTTGACACCGCTGGTACCAGTCATCGGCAAGTCCACTCAGCTCCACATCCTCCTGTACCACATCACTCCATCTCTTCTCTAGCCCGTGCCGCGCCCGTTTAGCCCCCTCGATCCGGCCGAACAAAAGCTGTTTGGGCATGCGGTAGCTGGGCATGCGGGCTACATGGCCCAGCCAACGCAGCTCACCGATGGGAATTTGCCCAGATCTTTCAAGGATTTGTGAGCTCCTCACACAATCCAGCCTGGTTAAACCCAGGATGGATCGTAGGCAGGCCAGCCAAAATGTTTCTAACCAGCAGAGATTATACATACATACACAGACACACAGACACACACAGACACACAGACACCAACATAGACATAGACACACACACAGACACAGACACCCACATAGACACATACACACACGCAGACACACACACACAGACACATACACAGACACACACACACAGACACACACACAGACACACACACACACAGACACACACACAGACAGACACACACACAGACACACACACAGAGACACACACAGACACACACACACACACACACAGACACACACACACAGACACACACACACAGACACACACACAGACACACACAGACACACACACACAGACACACGCGCGCGCGGTGTTATTGAGCACAAAGCCACGGCGCCTTGCACTTGGTAGGGAGCATGGGGGGCTTGGGGGGAGGAGGGGGGGGGGGTATGGGGCGTAAATAAATAAATAAATCGCGAATAAAGGAAGCGGGTAAATAAATAAATCGACACAAATCTCGGGGCGCCCAGAGGAGCGCCCCGACTTCGACTGCTGCTCCACCCCCTCTCTCTCTCAAGGCCGTGTGGACACACACACACACACAGGTGTACACACACACAGGTGTACACACACGCAGGTGTACACACACACAGGTGTACACACACAGGTATACACACACACACACACAAGTGTACACACACGTGTACACAAACACAGGTACACACAGGTGTACACACACAGGTGTACACACACAGGTGTACACACACACACAGGTGTACACACACACACACAGGTGTACACACACACACAGGTGTACACATACACACACAGGTGTACACACACAGGTGTACACACAGGCGTACACACACAGAGGTACACACACACACAGGTGTACACACACACACAGGTGTACACACACACACACACGTGTACACACACACACACAGGTGTACACACACACAGGTGTACACACACACAGGTACACACACAGGTACACACACAGGTGTACACACACAGGTACACACACAGGTACACACACAGGTGTACACACACACAGGTACACACACAGGTACACACACACAGGTGTACACACACACAGGTGTACACACACACAGGTACACACACACAGGTGTACACACACAGGTGTACACACACAGGTACACACACAGGTGTACACACACACACAGGTACACACACCGGTACACACACAGGTGTACACACACAAGTGTATACACAGGTGCCTATAAATATACAAGTGTACACACACGTGTACATACATATACAGGTGTGTACACACAGCTTTAGACATAGCTGTACACACACACGTGTACACACGCATATATGTAGGTACACGCACAACACTCATACATACATCGCCTGCACATATACACATACGTGAATCTACTAATTAATACATATACACAATACACACACAATACACACACAATACACACACATAGCACGTATACACGCGCTCAAAAATAAAAACACACACACGTAATACACCGCACGTACACACATATCACTTACACCGTTTTCAACAAAGACAAAAACACAACTATCATCTACACACAAAGACCTACACACAAACACATATATATATATACATAACAAAGACATACACACACACAGACCTACACACAAATATCACCTACACACACATATATAACACACACACAGACCTACACACACATATATATACAAAAACATATACACACACAGACCTATACACAAATATCACCTACACACAAACACATATACATTCATACACACACACACATCGCTTGTACACACACACACATATATACCCACATACACATACACACATATACTTACATACACACACATATATCCACATACAAATATCACCTACAAACACATATCCAATCATACACACACGTATTACCTGCACACAACACTCGCATTATCATCATCATCATCACTTACCGTGTTTCTTTTTCTGTAACCCTGATTAGAGCTTCATGAACTTCACCGACGAACGAACCCAGCGTTGTTAATTAGTAGCTGCGGTACACGTGGTACACAAGGGACGGATTGTACGTATATGTAGTATATTATGTAGTATATTACGTAGTATATTATGTAGTATATTATGTAGTATATATGTGAGCACGTCTCCCTAATATATATCGGCCAGACTCTAGCAGCTTGGCGACACACAACAGCGGAAACCAAACCACGGTCGTTGGTTCGTTCGTCGATTTCGTTCATTCATTCATTCGTTTCTATAGTTCAATTGTTCGTTCAACGGTTTGTTCAGCCGTTCGATTGTTCGTTCGTTGCGTCGTTCATTGGTTCGCTAAATCGTTCATTCGTTCAACGGTTTGTTCAGCCGTTCGATTGTTCGTTCGTTGCGTCGTTCATTGGTTCGCTAAATCGTTCATTCGTTCAACGGTTTGTTCAGCCGTACGATTGTTCGTTCATTGCGTCGTTCATTGGTTCGCTAAATCGTTCATTCGTTCAACGGTTTGTCCAGCCGTACGATTGTTCGTTCATTGCGTCGTTCATTGGTTCGCTAAATCGTTCATTCGTTCAACGGTTTGTTCAGCCGTTCGATTGCTCGTTCATTGCCTCGTTCATTGGTTCGCTAAATCGTTCATTCCTTCAACGGTTTGTTCAGCCGTTCGATTGTTCGTTCATTGCCTCGTTCATTGGTTCGCTAAATCGTTCATTCGTTCAACGGTTTATTCAGCCGTTCGATTGTTCGTTCGTTGCGTCGTTCATTGGTTCGCTAAATCGTCCATTCGTTCAACGGTTTGTTCAGCCGTTCGATTGTTCGTTCATTGCGTCGTTCATTGGTTCGCTCAATCGTTCATTCGTTCAACGGTTTGTTCAGCCGCTCGAGTGTTCGTTCATTGCGTCGTTCATTGCTTCGCTAAATCGTGAATTCGTTCAACGGTTTGTTCAGCCGTGCAAGCGTTTGCTTATTCGTTTCGTCAGTTCGTTAATTCGTTCGCTCACTCGTTCATTCGTGAAATAGCTCGTCCATTCAATCATCAAATTGGTTACTCGTTGCTTCGTTTGAACAAGAAATCTGCTCGTCCGTTCATTCAATCGGCTCATACATTCAACAGGCCGTTCGTTCAGTCGTCAATTCGAGACATGAGCAGCCCAGACACTGGGTACGCGAGCGACGAACACGCGTGCCTGCACAGTCACGCACGCGCACAGCCACACGCGCACAGTCGGACACACACGGACGCTCACGGCCACACGCAGACGCACGGTCACACGCGCGCTCACAGTCAGACACAGGCGCACGGTCACACGCGCGCTCACAGTCAGACACAGGCGCACTGGTCACACACACGCTCACAGTCAGACACACGCGGAGAGTGGCTCACAAACCGCTCGGCAGCCGCGTCCGCAGTTGGCGATGAGTTCCTTCAACGCCCCGTCCTGGATGGACTCGCATCAACCGCAGGACATGACCGTATCAACCACAGCCGCCACCACTACCACCAGCACCAACAACAGCAACAACACAACAACCAACATCAGCAGCAGCAGCAGCAAGGGCGGCTGCGGCGCCAAACTACGAAAGTTCCAAAATGGAAAAGTTGGCGACATCGAAGAAGAGGAGGTTGGGGTTGTGGTGGAGGACATGGAGGAGGACATTGAAGAAGACGTTGATGATGTGGAGGAGGGTGACGATGATGATGATGATGTTGTTGGCGGCGGCGGCGGTGACGATGGGCACGTGGTGGCGGCGATGAGTCACACGGAACACGCGCTCGGTGGCAGCGTGGCGACCGGCAACTTGGGATCGACTTTTCTCACAGCGCAGCATCTTCACCATCACCAACAACAGCAGCAGCAGCATCATCATCATCTTCAACAGCATAGTCTTCATCATCATCAGCTTCAGCAGCAGCAGCAGCAGCAGCTGGGACCTGTCGGGGTTGCGACGCCACTGACGACCGGCGGCGTCGTCGTCGTCACGGCTGGAGCCGGGCCCGGCGCGCGTAGCAAACCGGTGCAGGAGCCGCGCATCAGGAGGCCCATGAACGCGTTCATGGTGTGGGCCAAGGACGAGAGGAAGAGATTGGCGCAGCAGAACCCGGACCTGCACAACGCGGAGCTGAGCAAGATCCTCGGTGAGAGGGGGAGACTCGAGTTCGTCGGCAGAGATTTGGTGGAGTGAGATTCAACGAGTTCATTTTTGTTTCACCAAGTTTAAGCCCCCCCCCACTCCACCCCATCCCACCCACCACCACCCTACTGAGCTGTATAGCTCTGTTTGTTTTAGAAGCCACGATGATGCTGATGATGGATAGCCGCGCTGCGTGTGCGTGAGTCTGTGTGTCTGTGTCTCTGTGTGCGTGAGTCTGTGTGCGTGAGTCTGTGTCTGTGTGCGTGAGTCTGTGTCTGTGTGTGTGAGTCTGTGTCTGTGTGCGTGAGTCTGTGTCTGTGTGCGTGAGTCTGTGTCTATGTGCGTGAGTCTGTGTCTATGTGCGTGAGTCTGTGTCTGTGTGTCTGTGCGTGAGTCTGTGACTCTGTGTGTCTCTGTGTCTCTGTGTGCGTGAGTCTGTGTCTCTGTGTGCGTGAATCTGTGTCTGTGTGCGTGAATCTGTGTCTGTGTGCGTGAGTCTGTGTCTGTGTGCGTGAGTCTGTGTCTGTGTGCGTGAATCTGTGTCTGTGTGCGTGAGTCTGTGTCTCTGTGCGTGAGTCTGTGTCTGTGTGCCTGAGTCTGTCTCTGTGAGTGTCTGTGTCTCTGTGAGTGTCTCTGTGACTCGGTGTGTCTCTGTGTCTCTGTGTGCGTGAGTCTGTGTCTGTGTGCGTGAGTCTGTGTCTGTGTGCGTGAGTCTGTGTCTGTGTGCGTGAATCTGGGTCTGTGTGCGTGAGTCTGTGTCTGTGTGCGTGAGTCTGTGTCTCTGTGTGCGTGAATCTGTGTCTGTGTGCGTGAGTCTGTGTGTGCGTGAGTCTGTGTCTGTGTGCCTGAGTCTGTGTGCGTGAGTCTGTGTGTGTGAGTCTGTGTCTGTGTGCGTGAGTCTGTGTCTGTGTGCGTGAGTCTGTGTCTCTGTGTGTGAGTCTGTGTCTGTGTGCGTGAGTCTGTGTCTGTGTGCGTGAGTCTGTGTCTCTGTGAGTGAGTATGCGTCTCTGTGTGTGAGTCTGTGTCTCTGAGTGAGTCTGCGTCTCTGTGTGTGAGTCTGTGTCTGTGTGCGTGAGTCTGTGTCTCTGAGTGAGTCTGTGTCTGTGTGCGTGAGTCTGTCTGTATGCGTGAGTCTGTGTCTGTGTGTGTGAGTCTGTGTCTGTGTGTGTGAGTCTGTGTCTCTGTGCGTGAGTCTGTGTCTCTGTGTGTAAGTCTGTGTCTCTGTGTGCGTGAATTTGTGTCTGTGTGCGTGAGTCTGTGTCTGTGTGCCTGAGTCTGTGTGCGTGAGTCTGTGTGCGTGAGTCTGTGTCTGTGTGCGTGAGTCTGTGTCTGTGTGCGTGAGTCTGTGTCTGTGTGCGTGAGTCTGTGTCTGTGTGCGTGAGTCTGTGTCTGTAGCAGACTGTTGGGGCACTTGCCCCAACAGTCTGCTAAAGGCTACACGGGGGATCTTTGTCTTTGTATTCTTCATAAGTGCCCCAACAGTCACTAACAGCACTTGCCCCAACAGTCAGCTAAAGGCTGCACGGGGGATCTTTGCCAAGAGTAGGCCGGCACACAACGGCCCACTCTTGGTGAACTACGCCACCGGGAATTGACGACGAGGATTGTTTTTGCATCCTTAGCTCGGTTAGCGACGGTGAGAATCGGTGAGGGCAACGGGCAGAGCGAAGCGCTGATGCTGAGTGCAGACGGTCTCTCTGCTTTTTACGACGGTGCCATTGACGAGATCCACATTTACGACGCTTATATGACCGTATGTTTTTTACTATTTTACAAGGTAAGGCCCACGAAGCTATGTGGCTCTTTTTCAGAAGCGAACTGGCGATCACAAATGATCGCTCAACGAAGTGGGCTGCAGGTCACGTAAATGTATAGCAGACAAATACTCTTAAACGCAAGTTGATTCTAAATACGGAGGGAGACGGATAGACACGCAGACTCCTAATATACAGCAGCAGGCGTCAGGGTCGGGATCGAACCCACGACCTCTTGCACACCAGGCGAAGTAGTTAACATCTCCTAGCCACCGTGATGATGATGAGAGAGACACGCAAACTCAAAATATACAGCAGGCGTCAAGGGTCGGGATTGAACCCACGACCTCCTGTAGACCAGGCGAAGTAGTTAACATCTCCTAGCCACCGTGATGATGATGAGAGAGACACGCAAACTCAAAATATACAGCAGGCGTCAAGGGTCGGGATCGAACCCACGACCTCCTGTATACCAGGCGAGGTAGTTAACATCTCCTAGCCACCGTGATGATGAGAGAGAGAGAGAGACACGCAAACTCCAAATATACAGCAGCAGGCGTCAGGGTCGGGATCGAACCCACGACCTCCTGCGTACCAGGCGAGGTAGTTAACATCTCCTAACCACCGCGGCAGGCAATGCCACCACGGATCAATGCACGACTTAGAAACTTGATTTACAACGCGAAAACTTGATTTACAACACCTACGAACGCATTTGAACAGAGTCGGTCTGGTTTCCTACGTGACTCAGCGTGGAGTTTTTCTTTTTCTCAAGGGGGTTTTAGTTGTTGTTGTCGTTGATGTTTACCGAATAAACTCGATTAAATAGAGCTGATAAAGTGAAAGAGAGAAAACGCAGAGCGGCAAGTGACGTCTCTACTGATGTCGACTGTATGTGGGGAAAACGAGGCTTTCGCGACCAATATTATCTATAATAAAGGGGTTTATTGTTGGGGGTTAGAGATGACGTTGATATAAATGTGTCGTTTAAACCCGCCACCACCCGACACAGCCAATTAGGAAGGTTTGTCATATCTGTCTGTCCACCTGATGAAGCTAGCTGCAATTGCTGGCGAAACGTCGTACTCAGAGTGTAAATGTTGTGGGTTGGCTCTCCAACACACCGGTGGTGCTGTGCTAGTATACTACACTATACACTACTATACACTACATTACTATACACGACACTATACACTACTATAAACTACACTACTATACACTACACTATACACTACACTACTATACACTCCACGATACACTACTATACACTACACTATACACTACACTACACTATACACTACACTATACACTACACTACACACTACACTACTATACACTACACACTACACTACACTACTATACACTCCACGATACACTACTATACACTACACTAATATACACTACACTACTGAACACTACACTATACACTACACTATACACTACTATACACTACACTACTATACACTCCACAATACACTACTATACACTACACTATACATTACACTATACATATATTTACGCGATCTAACCCACCCTCCAAAAAAACCCTCTATTATAGATAAACAACAACAAGAATCAGAAACGAGTTTAACCTATCCACACAGCTGCTGCTGGCTGGATGTCGGTGTGGAGGGGGCGGTGGTTAAAACAAACAAAAAAAACAACCCTTGCTCCCCAATTATTTCAAATGCCGTGCCGAGAGATGGCAATCGAAGCGACGCTTCTAAGATTCCGAGTCTCGTCTGCAACCCTTTCAATTCGAATCGCTACCGATCCCGGTCCGCCTTCGACAATTATAATTATTGTCCCCAAGGTCATCGAACAAATCCTCCCCGATGCGACCTCCCAGTAGCGCCAACGTCCAACGGACGTCTACAACCTTTGAGCCGACATGGTGCCAGTCGGCTCAAAGGTTGATGTCGGCTAAGATTGTCGCGAGGGGTATAATAATGCCTGTTTTATGGGACCTCCTTTGCCAGGGCCACAATATGAGAAGAGGTTTTCCCCTTTTTTCTGGCAACAAAAACAGCTGTGTTAAGATATTAAAACACCAAACTGAAACCATTTTACAAGGAATCGTGTCTGCATTAACCACAAGCCTTGTGGTCAGAATGCAAACAAAAAATATACTCTGATAGTATATGCTTTCTTTGGAGCATTCTGACCACAAGTATTGTGGTTACTTATTCTTAGGTTTTTTCGTTAAAGTCACGTAGGTAAAAAAATTAAATTAATAAAAGTAAAATAAAAATAAAATAAAAATCACGACGTTTCGGAGGCAACACAAGCTTCCGTCTTCAGGTGGAACCGTCACAGCACGATATTTTTATTTTATTTTATTAATTTAATTTTTTTACCAACGTGACTTTACCGAAAAAAACTAAGAATAAGTAACCACAATACTTGTGGTCAGAATGCTCCAAAGAAAGCATATACTATCAGAGTATGTTTTTTGTTTGCATTCTGACCACAAGGCTTGTGGTTAATGCAGACACGATTCCTTGTAAAATGGTTTCAGTTTGGTGTTTAAACATCTTAACACAGCTGTTTGTTTGCCAGAAAATATGGGAAAACCTCTTCTAATGCCCGTTTGTTCAACGCCTATATCATGATTGTCAGTATGATTTTGATTTAAAGCTTTCGTGACTGCAGGGATTCATCTTCTTGGTTCTTTCGATAAAGTGGCGTAGAATGGAAATAATAAAATAATAAAAATAAAACATAATAAAATAATTCTCACGACGTTTCGGCCACAACGCAAGCAGCCGTCCTCAGGTGAAGAACAGGTCTGTCGGGAAGACAGCGTCTGACGCTGTCTTTGAGGACGGCTGCTTGCGTTGTGGCCGAAACGTCGTGAGAATTATTTTATTATGTTTTATTTTTATTATTTTATTATTTCCATTGTACGTGACTTTACCGAAAAAACCAAGAAAATGTCAATATGATGTTTCGATTTTCGACGGCGGGGGTCGCGCTCAGAACGACACAGCCCATCAAATCGAGTTGCTGCCACCGCGGTGAATTGTTGAAAAGCGAGCACCGTTTAAGATCGTTGTTGCTCACCCTTCCAAACATTCAAACCCTCACGGGCATTCATTCTGTGAGTTTTGTTTCTGTTTTTGCTGTCGCTGAAAAGAACCCCAAATGAATTGACTCATTCATGGTTTTTGGTTGATCTATTTCAGTTTTTAGATATGAAGCCGAGTTCCCCATGGGCTATCACAGGGGTCTAAAATCTGCCCCCCCCCCC